GGACTGCCCCAGCTCCCACCCTGCCATCCTCCAGGTGCCCTTTAGGAAAGGCTGAAACTCACCCCCCATATTCGTAGGGGGACGTTGCTGGCTGTTCCCCTTCATCAAGGAACAAGGGGAAAGTGCAGTTTGCTGCATTCCTCACTCTGGGGAGCACAGGGGCCAGATGAGCTGTGCACTTTGCTCTTATGCCCTGACAGGGACAGGATGGGGAAGAGCAAGCTGCTCTGGTATGAATTTTTTTGGGGGGTGGATCACCCTCCCACACACACTCTCCTTCTCTCAGCACCTCCTCACCTCAACCCTGACTCTTGCACTCACATGCCTCCTGCAGGCCTTACCCCGTGCCCTGAGCTGCCCCTACATTCCCCCACACCCTCTGCTTTGAGTCCCCAAATTCTACCCCACGCTTACATTTCTTAGAGGTACTGTTATATCATAATCTTTTCCAACCTCCAGCCCTGAGGGAGGGAGAGTTGTGATTAGGGATGTTAAATATTGGTTAATTGAGTTGTCAATTAACTTAATGAATTATCAATTACTTGACTATTCTATAGTCCAGGGGTGGGGCTGTCAGTTAGTGCGCTCTGGCCCCACTCCTGAGGAGATCCCTGCCAGTCCACGCTGCTGCCTCTATATCAGAGGCAGCAACACAGGATGCCAGGTAGGAGCTGATCCACAATGGGAGCCAATTCAAAAAAACAGCTCCCTTCGCGGTCTCGCTGCCTGTTGCCCTGCGCTGCTTCCTCTACCAGAGGCAGTAGAGTGGACAGGGGCTGCTGCCACCCCAGGGAGGGGTCTGAGGTCCCAGACCCAGTGCAAGCCAGGACTAAGCTGGACTACTGGGCAGCCCACTAAAAAATTTACTGGTGGGTGGTGATAGTGGGGGAAGTGCATGCAGTTGATAGCATTAACCTATAAACTTTTGCTTAGTTAATTGACTACACTATTATATCCCAAGTTGTGATATGATTGTACCTGTAAGAAATGTAGTAGTGATGGACTGCAGAACAAGTAATGATGATGGCAAAACAATTTTCAGAATGGAGAGGGGTAACTAGTGGTGTCCCCCAAGGGTCTGTCCTGGGACCAATCCTATTCAACTTATTCAAAAATGATCTAGAGAAAGGGGCAAGCAGTGAGGTGGTAAAGATTGCGGATGATACCAGACTGTTCAAGATAGTCAAGACAGAAGCAGAAGGAAGAACTTCAAAAAGATCTCACAAAACTAAGTGATTGGGCAACAGAATGGCAAATGAAGTTTAATTTAGATAAGTGTAAAGTAATGCACGTTGGAAAAAATAACCCCAACTATACATATAGTATGATGGGGGCTAATTTGGCTACGACAAATCAGGAAAGAGATCTGGGAGTTACCATGGATAGTAATCTGAAAACGTCCACACAGTGTGCTGCGGCGGTCAAAAAGGATGCTAGGAATTATTAAGAAAGAGATAGAAAATAAGACACAGAATATCTTACCGGCCCTGTATAAAACTATGGTACGCCCACATCTTGAATACTGTGTACAGATGTGGTCTCCTCACCTCAAAAAAGATATTTTGGCCTTGGAAAGAGTTCAGAAAAGGGCAACTAAAATTATTAGGGGTTTGGAACGGGTCCCATATGAAGAAAGGCAAAAGTGAGTGGGGCTTTTCAGTTTGGAAACGAGGAGACTGAGGGGATATATGATAGAGGTATATAAAATCATGAGTGGTATGGAGAGGGTGAATAAAGAAAAGTTATTCATTAGTTCCCATAATATAAGGACTAGAGAACAGCAAATGAAATTAATGGGTAGCAGGTTTAAAACTAATAAAAGAAAGTTCTTCACGCAGCGTGTAGTCAACCTGTGGAACTCCTTGCCAGAGGAGGCTGTGAAGGCTAGAGCTGGAACAGAGTTTAAAGAGAAGCTAGATAAATTCATGGAGGTTAGGCCTATAAAAGGCTGTTAGCCAGGGGGCAGGAAGGGTGTCCCTGGCCTCTGTTTGTCAGAGGCTGGAGATGGACGGCATGAGACAAATCACTTGATGATTATCTTCGGTCCTCCCCCTCTGGGGCACTTGATGCTGGCCACTGTTGGCAGACAGGCTACTGGGCTAGATGGACCTTTGGTCTGACCCAGTACAGCGATTCTTATGTCACAAGGAGCAAGTAGTTTCAGTAGTGAAGGATGGCAGAAAAGGAGCAATGGTCTCAAGTTACAATGGGGGTGGTGTAGGTTGGATATTAGGAAAAACTATTTCACCAGGAGGGTCGTGAAGTACTGGAATGGATTCCCTAGAGAGATGGTGGAATCTCCATCCCTAGAAGTTTAAGTCCCAGCTTGATAAAGCCCTGGCTGGGATGGTTTAGTTCGGGTTAGTCCTGCTTTGGGCAGGGGGCTGGACTCAATGACCTTCTGAGGTCTCTCCCAGTCCTAGGATTCTATGATTCTAAGTTTGTTATTTTCATCTCTTGACTGAACCAAGATGAGCCAGAAAAATAGGATGAACATGCAATAGGATTGCTTCTCAATAAACCTTAGAGAAAAAAGAAGAAATGGATAACTTTGGAGGGGTATCTATTGGCACACTTAAGTCAATGCTTAAGGTTTTAAAACTTGAAGAAAATGACTATAGCTGGATGCTCATCTATCGTGAACAAGCAGGAGGAGGAATTAAAACAAATCTGTAAATCAGTAGAAGCAGAGTCTGCCTGGGCTGTGCCCCATTACCATTACTGCAACCACCAAGACCCCTTATTTAACCCTTACCCACTGCAATACAAATTATAAGAAAAAATATACTTGATGGAAATACCATTTTAAAAATATACTAAAACAGAAAATTTGTAAGTCTCTTTAAAGTAATCTGAGTTAAAAATTAATTTTATTAAAAATAACACTTTTTGAAAAACAGTCATTTGAAGTGTGTACGTTTTCCTTTTATTTAAAAAAATCAATTAAGAACCCAAGCAACATTGGGTAAATGTGCTTAGCTAAATATACATCTGAATGCCCAATGTGGATGGACAATAATTAGTGGTGGGAGATACTGGAGAGAACTTGTCGATCTTACTAAAATTTGTATTTGTTGTGATATTTGTATGTGCTCCCTCAAACCTGCAATGCTTTTAAGTATTTGATATAAACATTTATTTATCACTGATGTTTGCATTACATTTCAAAAGGATCTCTTGGCTGTTTTGTAGGTGGTTCTACTTGGGTATCATTGGAGCTGCAGAGAATCTGAAGATGATCTTCTTGTCCACAAACCCGTTGCTAAATGGACTACTGAAGAGGTGATTCTTTGGCTAGAACAGCTGGGCCCTTGGGCTTCCCTGTATAGAGAGAGATTTTTATTAGAGAGAGTGAATGGAAGGTGAGGAAAATAAAATATCACTGACAAGAGCAGCCATAATAGAACCATTTCATTGGGTAGACTTACTTTTGTACATCATATGCTATGAAATATTTGATCACTTGGGGAACAAGATATTGACGTTCTGGTACGAAGAGCATTTTAATCCTCAGTTTAATTGACATAATTGTAATAAGGGGTATTAATACCAAGAATGTGACTTCCTTTGTTCTTTTATAGTTTTGATACGTAGTCTTTCCTGACTATATAAGCTAAAATGTTACTATGTGTTTATCACAGAGATTTGAGATTGAGTGGCTCTATACCTTTTGTCTGCTCCCAGCTTCTGGATTTAGAGCAGGGGTGGGGAACCTACGGCCTGGGGCCGGATGCAGTCCCCTGCTTGTCTGGATCCAGCCCCCAAGGCTCAGGTCTCCCCGCTCCCAGCACTGGAGAGCTTGCACTAGCATTCCAGCCCTCTTCCCTTCCCACCCCATGGGGCTGGAGCACACTCAATCTACTAGCCTGAGCCCCTCCTAGGCTCTGGTGTGCGAGAAGAATGTGGGGGTATCTTTCTGCTTCTCAGTCGGGGGATATGTAAGTGAGGGTGTGTTTTTTGTTTAGCCTTCTTACTTGTGTGCAGTCCTTGACTAATTTTTCTGTGGGTCAGCGGCCCCTGACCCAAGAAAGGTTCCTCACCAGTGTTCCCTGTTAGATTTTTCCGTGACTGTAGTAAATTTTGTCTTGTGCACCAGTATTGGAGTCATGTACACTTCTTCGGATGTGTGTCACCGTGGTAACCACCAGTGACTAACAAATCTTATACTATACAGCCGCTCCCCGACTTACGACCACCTCCACTTAAGACCATCCGCACTTATGACCAAAGCGGTCATAAATGCGGATCTGAGTTACGAACGGTAATCCGTGCTTACGAACAGCGCGGTCGCCATGTAACTCTATGGGATCCGAGTTATGGACCCAGTGTTGGTCCATAACTTGTTCGTAACTTGGGGAATGGCGTATTAGGATTTTCCTGTGGGATGACGGTGATGCCATGCGTCCCTCTGGGGAGAGGTTGAGTGGCTGCCCTACATTGTCCCCTCTCCCCGCCCCCATGATCCCCTATCAGCTCTGCACTGCACAGGCTGGAGGCTAACCCCTCCTCACACGCCGTGGGCCCCTGAGCATCCCTCTGCGTGGCTCTTCCACTGTCTGGGGTGGGGACGGAGAGGACAGTGGGAGCTGGGGGGAGAGGGGAGTGCATGGGAGCCACGGGGGTTGGAGTGGGGGGAGGGGGTGCGTGGGGCAAGTGGGAGCTGGGGGGAGAGGGGAGGGCATGGGAGCCAAGGGGGTTGGAGTGGGGGGAGGGGGTGCGTGGGAGTCATGTGACTTTGGAAGCTGAAGTAGAGGGAGCGGGGGGATGTGCAGGAGCTGCATGGAATCAGGTGTGGGGAGGGAGCCACGTGACCTCTTGGGGGTTGTGGTGGGAGGAGGTGACATGCAGGAGCCATGGGGGCACACAGGAGCTGTGTGGCATTGTGAGGGCTGGGGCAGCACACAGAAGCCACAGAACCTAGTGAGGGTTGGGTGGGGGAAAGGGGATTGCGCAGGACATGTGCGGCATCACCAGGTGTGAGGGGCTGCGCAGTCATGCCCCTCGCTGGCTGGGGGCTGGAGCTGTGTGGCCTCCCCCCTCACAGCAGGAGGGAAAAGGCTGGGTGCTGCGCCCCCTTTACTTTCCCCGCCAGAGGGAAGAGAACTGGGCCAGCATCGGTCTAGCCCAATCCCCCCTCCCAGCAGCTGGAGGAGGAGAGTTGGGCCAGCTGTGACCTTGGTTCGGCCTACTGCAGCCAGAGGTGGGAAAGCCAGGGCTGCTTATGCTTCGACCTAGCCCTCCCTGATTGCCAGGGTGAAAGCTAGGGCTGCTTACCCCCAGAGAGGGGTGTTGGCAAGTGTAGTAAACAGGGTGGGTTGCCACTCCCTCGTATCTTTTTCTATATTTTTAAGTGTTATGAAAGAAAAAATACTAAAACAAGGGATAATTAACAAATCAAATAAATAAGGTTAATACTGCAAAATTTTCAGTATCCATGAAGGAAACTAGATGTCTGCCAAACAATGGTAATTACAAATCTGTTTAGTCTGAAGTGTTAATTATATTGTTTCCTGATAATGTGACACAAAATCATACAAATAAAAACACATTGGGGCTTCTTCACTTTCAGCATTAAAGAAGCTATAATTATGAATCAAGGAAGATACTCCAGCTATTGCTCTCCTGAGCAGTTCATTGCTTGATATGCATGTTTGTTTACTGCCCTCATACTCACTCTAAGGATGTTATGTTCAGGTGATAGACTAATTGAATAGTCGGTGCATCAACTATTTGATTAGTCAATAGGGCACTTCCACTTCAAAGGTGAAAGTGCCAAAGCCTGGGGTCAGCTGGGGACTCCTCTGCTGACTCCGGCTCCACCACTTCTTTGAAATGCCACAAGGAGCCTGACGCCAGGCTCCCCGCAGCATTCAAAGCAGCAGTGCCACACAGAGCAGCTGACCCTTCACATCCCTACCACACACTGCTTCATCTCTCTCTCTTTTTCTCTCTCACATACTCTCACTCACACACACCCCTCCACCTCCATCCTTTATTCATTGAATTTTTTGCTGGAGATAGAATTTGCATTTCTGAGTCATGTTTCAGTGATTATAGCTGATATTGTAAGCAAGTAATTTTTAAACTTGTAGTACACAAGATAAATTAGATTCCTGAGAGGTTGAGAGTCACTGCTTTAATAATAGTTCATTTTGGGCTCTTAAATTTTTGAATTACATTCTTGATGGTTTTATTCTAATATCTTCAGCTATTGTATCTTGGACAACCCTGACATCAGTTATATTTGCCTTGCTCTATACTATGTCTTTCTCATGCTGTGATGAGTCAGTATCTTAACTTTTTGAATTACATTCTTGATGGTTCTATTCTAATATCTCTCAAAAGAAGATTACTGTACTCAAGGTGTGGGCTTACCATGGATTTACATATTGGCATTATATTTTCAGTCTTCTGATCTATCCGTTCCCTAATGGCTCCTACCATTGTGATCTTTTTTGACTGTTGCTGCACGCTGGCTTGCTCCTCACCAATTTATCTTGTAGTATTCCTCAGTTTGGAGGTCTTTTCTCTTTCCTAGGTTCCTCTCCCCTCCCCCACTCTTTCTATTAACTTGATGCTCCAACTCAGGATGGACGACTTAGCAGCCACTGGTGTGCACCTAGTTAAAATTTCATGATTTAAAACATAAGGTCCCATGGCTTAACTTATAGTGTGATGTAAGGTAAATATGATTGAATGAATACAGTTTGAAGAATAAAAGGCAAGCTGTGTTGACTTAATTTGTTTATTTATGCTTTACTCATTTTGTCCCCACATTTGGCAGTCTTAATTTAAGTTTCTCAATGATAAGACAATAGAATGTATTTAATAGGTTTTGGCAGCTTTCTGTGTGTTTTAAAACCATAAGTTATGGGACAGGATTTAAAAAGGTGCTATCTTGGTGATTCAGGATCTAGCTATTATGTTGGAATTAAAATAGTGTCTGTTACAAAAATGGTAAGCTGTCAGTATTTACATTTCTGAAATTCTTTATTTTGTAGGCTTCTATTAACAATAACAGATGAAGAAGATTTCACAAAAACTCCTTACCATATAGAGAATAGTAGCCATAGAAAAGCCATTATTATGGAACTGGAACGTGTGAAAACATTGGGAGTTAAACCACCACAGAACCTTTGGGAATACAAGGTAAATGTTATAAAGTAGTGAACCCTGTTACTTGGAATAGGTATTCTAAAGACTATTTAGATAACTATGATGAAAACTCTTAATTCTTTATACTGAGACCAATAAGTGTCTGATTAGAATGCTAGGGATAACATGTAAATTAAAATCTCCAGAAAAGTGAATGAAAAACAGGATTCATGTTACTGGTCCAACAATGGATGCATAGGTAAAAGTACTGTTGTATATTGCACAACAAAAGCCCAAAAAATCATAAAGTACTTCCCTGCTTTGCTCTGCTTTGAAGTAGCATTGTAAAATGTGAAGATTAAGAACTGATACAATTGTAAATGCTAAAATTTATATTTTTTCAGTGATTGTATAATACATATTTTTCATCATATGTCTTGTTGTTGAATCTTCTGATTCATTTTAGGCAGTAAACCCAGGAAAGTCATTGTTCCTGCTGTATGCACTAAAGAGCTCTCCAAGACTCAGTATGTTGTATCTATACTTGTTTGATTACACAGAAATATTTTTACCATTCATCTACACAATATGTCCTGTGCAAGAAGATGAACATGAAGCTATTGTCACAAAACTACTAGTAGGTGTTGAAAATATTTATTTATCATTATGCCAATTTCTTTAAATTGAAGTGTTTGTATTTAAAATTTGCTCCTCAAGTATGCATAGCACATTGCTTACCATTCTTAACATACAGTAAAATCTTTTCTTTTAAAAAAAAAATAAATAAAAAACAACCCTTCCTTGACAACAAGTAAGCTTCAGCTTATATTGTAGATGGTGTAGGTAGCATAGCAGTTCAGCATTTCCACTTCATAATTCCTTGTTCTTAATTGGTTACAGTTTGGCAGTTATAAACATCCAGGTAAAAATTTTCCTGCTTCATCTTTGCTCAGGTTGACTTGGAAAAAACCCCAAACTCAATAAAATAGCAGTCTGATGCGGGAGGGCGGGTGGTGAGGTAATTACAGTTTCATCACATTTGAGGGGGCAACAATTGAAGCTGCATGGGCAACTCCCGCAACCTGATTTTGCAATCTAAACGTTTTTTTCTTTTATCATTAATTACACACAAACAAATGTTAAAGGAGACTAGACATAGCAAGTAATTCCTCTCCCAGAACTGGAAAGGCACTGCATGTGTTAATGTGGACATTTAAGAGCAAATCTTCTGAAAATACATGCAGGCACAGCGTCTAGTTAAATATCTATTGCTAATTATATTTTAAAAGTGCAATACTTTATAATCTCTTTTTTTGCATTTGACATGTTACACAACTTAAAGCAGTTGTTAATTGCTTCAGTGCTTTGGGTGTCTTTTTTTTTTCAAATGAATGTCTGTTTTTAAAACTTAATGAAAAACATTCTACTGGTCTTAAAATACATATAAACTTGTCTTTTATCAAATAAATTTTAGTCTGAATTAGTGATGTGAACATGTACCCCTATTCATGATTAACTGATGACCCTGAGCTCATCGGTTAATGTACTTGGCAATATGCAGGCCCCCATGGCGGCATTGGAGGAGGCGGGAGCCAGTACCTGAGAGGATGGGGAGCTTGGCTCCCTGTGCATACCGGCTCCCTTGGAGCCGCCACCTCCTCCCCCACTTCGTGTGTAAACCTGTAACTGCTGAAAACTTCAGCAGTTACGTGTTTACATAAATACATTTTACCATCCCTAGTCTGAATTGGCATAATCATTGTAATTGGAGTTCATTACATTACAAAACTGACTTTTAAATACATGCATTGGTGAACTATACTCTCTTCTTTTAACACATCTGGCTTGCACTTTGAAACAAATCACTTCTAACAGTTCCTGTGTATTTTTCCAAATAGCTGTTAACTTTGAAAACATGGGATGTTTACCTAGCACACTAGATGGATAAAATCAGAACTGGAGGAATGAGTTGTAGCCTTCACGTTTGTTATCTAGAACCACTTTATTTATAGGAAAGACTGGGGTCAACAACCACCACTTCTTAGGCTACATCTAGACTACAAGCCTCTTTCGAAAGAGAGTGTCTAGACTGCAACAACTTTTCGAAAGGTAGTCTGGATGCTCTCTTTAGGAAAAGCCCTGTTTGCATTCCAAGAATGCCTTTTTTCAACAGATGCTGTGCACCTACAGCGCCCAATGATTTGGATTGCAGTTATGGGTACTCATCTTTGCAAATCACTTGTTTTATTACCCTAAATATTTATTTGTGCCCAGTTGTAAGCATCTATATTGGAAAACATATGGGACTAAAGGTTAATGGATGGAAAATAGATTTCACAGAGAAACAGTGATCAAAACTCTGCTAAGGCACAAGTCACTGTGCAACTTTTAACTGTCTTCAATTTCTGAAAAACTGTAAGATTGTAAACAATGCCGGTCCTTAAGTCTAAATCAATACAGCCAATAAAGTATGCATAAACAAAGGAGGCTCACAGGGGCAAAATTGAGGGTTGTATTAAGAGTTCATACTGTTATGAATAATGAGAATGTTTAAGCAATATTAAACCCTCATATTTCAGGAAATAAATCAATGTCTGGTACTAGTTATGGGAAAATTCTTTATGGGCAAGTTTACTTTTGTAACTTCCCGTCACAGACTTTCTTTCTCCTTTCATCGAAACATCAAGGCTACGTCTACACTGGCGCGTTTTCCGCAAAAGAGTTTTTGCGTGAGGAGTTCTTGTGCAAAAACTCTTCCAGAAAAGAGCATCTACACTGGCATGTGCTTTTCCACAAGAGATGTGCTTTTGCGCAAAACCATCCAGGCCAGTGTAGATGCTCTCTTGCACAAGAAAGCTCTGATGGCCATTTTAACCATAGGGCTTTCCTCTGCAAGAAATTCATGTTGCCTGTCTACACTGGCCTTTTGCGCAAGAACAGTTGCGCAAAAGGGCTTATTCCTGAGCGGGAGCATCAGAGTTCTGGCGCAAGAAGCCCTGATTTCATACATTAGAACGTCAGTTTACTTGCACAAGAACACTCAGCCAGTGTAAACAGGCAGCAAGTTTTTGTGCAAGAGCGGCCGCTTTTGCACAAGATCGCACCAGTGTAGACACAGACCAATTGTTGGCTGATAGTGGAAACTGGACAATGGAAAAGATGGATCATTTGTCACATCTTGTATGGCATTTCTGGATTTAAAAATGTCCATCTTTATAAAAAAAAAATCCAGAAATCACTGTCTTCTATAAGATTGTTTTTGGCTTTTTTTTTCCACTCTAATTGGTGATATATGTACTCAATCATGAATTCTAATACAACGAAGCCTATTTTTTTTTTAATTTCTAAAACACTTTGGTGATTATTGTTCACTAACAGGAATCCCGTTCATTTGGTACTTTGTTTGTAGAATATGCTTGCTTATTTGCATCCTTAATTAAAAATGTGTGTGATGGAAACTTTAGTTTTAGTTTAACTACCTAGTGTAACATTAGTGAAGATTTTTCCTTTAATGAAGGGAAAGCCATAAAGCAATGAAGGGTAAACTAAACTAGTGTGTAATTAACGTGGCCATCAATTTTTTAAAATTTTTTCCGCCTTAGGAACTTAAAGATCCTACTTGGAAACAGTGGAGAGAATTCATTGTTAAGTACTCATTTTTGCCATATCAGCTAATAGCTGAATTTGCTTGGGATTGGTTGGAGATACACTACTGGACATCACGATTTATAATTGTTAATGCCATGCTGCTTTCTGTTCTGGAGTTCTTCTCCTTTTGGAGGCTCTGGTCAAGAAGAGAATTAAAGTAAGTCTCACTCAACTTGTTTAATTTTTTTATGGTTACTGTTGAAGATGTCTGTGTAGCCAAGACAAAAACTTTAAGTGTCTTTTATGCAGTCTTGGTGTATGGAATATGCTAATAATCCTGTGTAAATAAGGTCATCTAATTGTCTTAAATTCAGTTAGTACTGTAGTTCTTGGAAGATGTTTACAACAAATTGCTATTTTTCTTAATTTTAGATTACTGTTTTTTATTAAGGCTTCATTTAAGTTCAATACCTGTTTCAAATATAGAGAAGTATGAACAATTACTAATTATCAAGCACTATTCAGTTTCTTTGAAAATGAATGACATCACTATTGGTTTATTAGAATTGAAACAAGCAATTTTTAACTTCTGCTTCCATGCTGTGCTTGGAAGGGAAGGGCAAAAGAGAGTGAGTGAGTGTGTGTAATATATTTTGTTATCTTTCTGCTACTGGAGGGCAGACTAGACTTTGTGGAGAATCATCTACATATTTTTTTTCATTCAAGCAATTATCTTGTGACAAATTATTAAATTCAACTTGCATTTCAATTCTGAGTATGCCAGAATAGGAGCTCCGCTGGCAAGGGTCTGTTGGAATCATAGGATGCGATTGGTGAGAATGCAGTAGAGTAAGTGGCATCTCACAGATTGAATGACTATTGTAACTACCACTCATGGGGGGTATCTTTTTTTTTTTTTTTTAACTAGCAAAGTCTCTAGAATACTTCCTTGTGAAAAAATGATTGTCTTGCTCTCTTTTCTCAGGACTATTCCTCAGAGAATGTGGAGCCATTTCTGGAAAGTGTCAACCCAGGGTCTTTTTGTTGCTATCTTTTGGCCCATTATTCCTCAATTTGTCTGTAACTGTTTGTTTTATTGGGGTTTGTACTTTAACCCAATTATAAATATTGATCTTGTGGTAAAAGAAGTAAGACGTCTGGAAACACAAGTGCTGTGATTGCTATTCAGCCTTCTCCTAAGAATTGAATATCTATGCTGTCCAAATGTTTGAAGTCAGACATCTGGTAAGACAACATTGCTTTCTTTGATTGCTTCCTTTGTGGTGATTAAAAAATTGCCTTGAGGTGAGTCCATTTTGAAGCAGCAAGTACCATAACCCCAAAGCTTGGCTTTATTTTATGTAGTATTGCCATAGATAAGGAGGATACAGTTTTCTTGAAGGAGTCTTGTGAAGTTGCTATAATCATGCTGTTCAGTTTTTGGGTAACAACAACAATCTGACTATAATAGTATTCTGTGAAATCTGACGAATGCCAAGTTGTTAGGGCCTCTACATTCAATATCTTCTAAACAATCAAAACTGAGTGTGGTGCTATTTTGTAATGTTTCCGGACATTTGTATGTTGTTCAAAACTTGCCTGAGGGAGCTTTTGGACAGTGTCTTCAGTTGGTTTGATACTGAAAATATTTGAGGCTTTTTCACTCATCTTGACATGCTAGGATGCTAGTCAAACCATACGTTGGCCAGTAGAGCTCATGTTTAAAATTCCATTTATTCCAACTGTATAACACCTAGTTTACGTTGTATCCCACACCTTTTATAATTGGCAAATATGATAGGAAAGTCTTAAAGCCTTTATTGGGGTCTGTTAATTTTTATCAGTAAGAGCTGATTTAATGCTTCCTTTCCTAAATCAATCTTTATTTGCTAATTTCATAAATGAATTCAGATACCTCTCAAAGTATTAATTTGGTGAAGGGACCTGATACTGTAATTCCCTATTGTAGTCTGATGTGTGTAGCAAGACCTGAATCTGTAAATACTGAATGAAAGTGATTTTGTATAAAAATAACCATGTTGCCATTTTGTTTGTGATGTCTGAGTAAACAAAAGGTTAACTTTTGTTTTAAATCCTTGTACTTGTAAGCCTCATCATCTTGAGTTTGTATCATACTATTAATGGATTCTAGATTTGCATATGAACTCTTTTTTTAAAAAAAATAAAGATTTTTTTTCTAAATGTTTGTCTTTTAAAGAATCCATTTTAACTTTAAATTGTTTTAAATTTAAATCAAAGCTCTTGACCTTTTACCTTGTACTGTAATTAATACATTTTAGTGACTCTTTTGGCTTAAAATTAGATGGATTACAATGGACATATTATTTTTCAGATAATGTGGATGTTCACAATTAGTTAAAATTTATTGTACAGTACTCATTAATTTGAAGCATTTCTGAAGAAGAGGCCAAAAGCTTGAAGTTTCCTTGCTAACAGTGCCACACCTTTGTATCCCTGTAAATTCTGAATATTGTAGTGTATACTCATGGGGATATGCCTGCTCCCTACATATTGGCTGTGTCTACATTGGCATGATTTTGCGCAAAAGCATGTGCATTTGTGCAAAAACTTGCTGCCTGTCTACACCGGTGGGGAGTTCTTGTGCAAGAACACTAACGTTCTAATGTGTGAAGTCAGGGCTTCTTGTGCAGGAACTATGATGCTCCCGCTCAGGAATAAGCCCTCTTGCGCAACTGTTCTTGCGCAAGAGGCCAGTGTAGACAGGCCCTATGGTTAAAATGGCCATCAAAGCTTTCTTGCGCAAGAGAGTGTCTACAATGGCACAGATGCTCTTCCGCAAAAGCATATCTTTTGCGCAAAGGCACATGCCAGTGTAGACGCTCTCTTGCGCAAATACTCTAATGCAAAAACTCTTGCGTTAAAGAGTATTTGCGCAAAATCTTGCCAATGTAGATGTAGCCATTGAGTCTGGACCCTTCTTTGTGTAAAGGAGGAGACACAAGTGGAAATCCATGTTATGGTGCTGTGGGTCTTTGCAGACATCATCTGATTGAACATACTTACGGGTAGAGAGATGGGTCCCAGTGACTGACTCATCACATCTGCTGTGGAGTAAGGCTGCATCATGCAACCAGGGAGTTACTGCAGCCCAGAGGCCACACTAATGGTCACTGATCCATGTTGCTGCTCTATTTCTGGAAAGAGGGGGGAGCAGGTAGGATTTCTTTTCCCTGATGTCCCTAGGATTTCCACTCAAGTAGGGGTCAAATCATGGTCCTCTTGTACATCTTAACTGTCAGTGCCTTAATGTCTCTATTTAAATGCTTCAGTATCGTAAATACAGGCCTAAGTGTGCAAGTGACTCAAGACAGTGATGTTAAACAATTTAAGAGTGAAATTCACAAACTTATTTGTGAATAGTAAACTACTATTGGTCAAAGTCTTACTAATAAGAGAAGGTAAAAGTCCTTTAATCTGACAGTTACCTTTCCCTTGGCTAAGGCTAATAACACTAACTTCAGATTTCAAATTAAGTTTTAAAATAGAGGTTTTCACTCCATTCATACGTGCTGTTCTGCATTTGGCTGATACAAGAAAATGAGCGGTTTGCAGTAAACATGGTGAAATCTGATGTTTTAGAGGCTTTTTCCAGAGTTAATGTACTATTGCTACTTATGATAAAGGTTCACAGACCATAAGAGGTTTGATAAAATCATTCTTTATAGTCAGTCCATGAAAACTGCTACAGTGTACTAGCTGCTTAGAACCACTAAACTTGTTTTTAGAGTATGCATTATGAAAACTAGGCATACACACATTGTTGGAAAAAATCTGCTATAATAAAAACTCTTTTAAAATTAAAATAGTTCTTTACAGCTATTAGTGTAGTATTGTCCTGTCTCATTAAAACTTACACTGTGGATGACTCTCACCACATAAAAAATCTGGCCAGAAAATGTATCTTGGCTGGTAAGGGGCTTTAGCCAAACACTTGGAAGCTTTACGGTCACATTCACACACTATTTTTTGGCATTTGTCTTCTAGTGAATCTGTAAAAGAAAAAGAAAACGAAAACCAAGTACAAATGGTTCCTAAAGTAATTAGAGGTCAAAGGATAACAGTAAGCAGTAAATGTAGTAGTCAGAAAACTGTCCAGAATGTTGATTCCTTATAAATTGTAATGTCTTAATCCAAAGCCAGCCTTTTACTTTACCCAACAATGCTTTTTCTCCTCTACTGTTCAAAGTTTCAAAATACGTACTATACTAAACTAGAATTCTCTAGGCTAGACTTAATATAGAGAAATATCAACTTCCAGCAGATGGAGAGAGTGGAAGGAGAGGGGATTTGTGAGCAATCTCAAGTGCAGAACTTATGTTAGCTGAAAAAATATTTTTGCTAACTGAGTTGGAAAGAGCAAACATCTCAGTGAAGAGTCCATCTTTAATCCTCTTATGCTTACAAAACGGAAGGATTTTATTAGTTTAGCTCCTCTTCAGACAGGAGTAATGGTAATTGTTCTTTTTCTGTTCTGGTCAGAGCTGTGAGAAGTGGCTGTTAATATTGCATCCTTTAAAATGGTATTAACGTGATTTATACTATAAAATTGAGTTGTAAAGGTGTTACTGTAGAAGTCTTATTAGCTCATCCATTTATACGACTACTTACTAAATAGACCACAGAATATTGTGTGAGAGGTGCAAATTAACCGTACAAAAACTTATTTTCCTGTGTCTTTCACTTAGCTTTTGTTTGTGTAATTTTTAATAATTGTGTTTCAGTAACAAGGTATTTATATTTCCTCCAAATCTGGAAATAAAGTGTAGTATACAGTGACTTGTGAGTAACAAGTGTCTTGGAGAACCCACTTAAATCAGGCAGCTTCTGACCCTGTTAAAATTGAATTGAGAAGCCTAAACTGGATCTTAAATTGTAATTGAATCACTCCCATGTTAGCACAATAACAGCATAGTCTTGTGGACCATGGTGAACATCTAGTCCTGGTATGAAATGTAACTGTGCTTGAAACATGGCCATGTTGTAACCTGCTTTGATCTATCTGTAGGACAGACAAGATCTTAAAAAAGAAGAATATAGAACAGCACTCTTTCCCTGCCCTGCTGGAAACGGTTTCCTCTTGAGCATGCCACCCACCTTACTTTTAACATGGATTTCCACTAACACAGCTCAATGGTCAGCAATTAACTTGTTCTGGCTATTACTCACAGCCTGCCTTTTGACTAGAGTAGGAAAACAGCTCACATTTTTTTAAAATGGTTTAAAAAAATGTTGAACATGGTAGCACATTTTTAAAAGTGATCAGTGCATGGACACCTACAATTGATCAAACATTAATCCCTTAACTTTAAAATATCTTGTCTTAAATATGACCTGTTGTCATAATCTAGACAAGAAATGGGCAACCAAAACTGGACACAGGAATGACCGCCCCCCTCGTATCCTCCCCTCACCACAGTGAGTCACAGCAGCCTGCAGCCTACTGGGTTCAACCTGCAGCCCCGTGACCTTTTCACAAACTAAGGTACCAGAGCAGGAGCCCCACTAACAGCTGATTAGTGGCATTCCAGCTCTGGGAGGGAGGAACAAGAGCAGGGATGGAGCATGAACCAGGCAATTTATGGCTTCTCTAAATGTGGTAGGAGAGAGGAGCAGGAACTGCAGGGCTCCGGTACCTCAGTACGAGACATGGGGGATAGCCAGTGGGTCCATAAGCCACAGATTGCCTACCACTGATGTAGACCTATCTCCCAATGCAGCATTAAATGCATTTTTAGATATGCTAGACTCCACTAATTCTCAAATGCACCTGGACAAAACAAAGGATATTCAAAGTGTGCCTTTCCTATTGGCTAAATGCTAGTAAGAAACCTACTGGTGACAGATGTGCTAATGTCCACTTTGAGTAGTCAGAAGTGGAGAAGCATTTCTTGCTATATAAGTTTTAAGATGCATATGAAATTTTTTTTTTTGTCTATTAGTGGCAGTGGCCAGCTTGAGGAAGATTGCATTTGTGACAATGGTAGTGTACCATAGCGTGGCTCTAGTAACCTGACAGAATGAAAATTGTATGTAGTTGGTGTTAACTTCCTAAAATTCTTGTATTGCTATATGTAAGACTGGATATGTGTGTCTTGTCTCAGAAAACTCATCTGCATGTGATCTTTCTCTTTAAAGCTATGATTATTTTGAGGTTCACTGAAACTAAAACTTTAGAGATGAACCAGTTTAGGAGCATATGGGGTGTTAATATAAATGGTGCAAAGGAGGAAGGTTCAAAAAGCAAAGGAAGGGGGGGACAAAGAATGGATGTTACAAGTGGTAGACTAGCATTGTGGTGGTCTTGTATGAACATGCACCAGAAAGGGACTAGAACGGATTCATTACTTACCACACACAGCAGCATTATCTTCACATTCCCAGTTGTAGCTCTCCATCTTGGGCTGACAGCCTGCTTGCTCTGCCTTACTGTAGCAGCAGTCATGCTTAAAGCAGCACCTGACAGCAAGGCAAAGATGGATTTTTCTCATATAATATTAATATGGGCTTGTAATACTTGTGTTGGCACCCTTTCCTATAATTCAGTACACTTGCTTCCTCAAACCTATTGTAATGCATGCCTTTTTATATACCCCGTGGGTTGTTATAGCAAAAGGACACTCAAAACGAATGAAAAATTGCTGGAGTAAGTTAACCAAGTCACCTTAAAAGACGGCATTGGCTTAATTTAAATAATGATACTTAAGGTAAGGAAGTGTTCACAGAAGAGGATTTCAGGTGACTTCTGAATCTTCAGCTTTGATAGTCTACTCCCGTCCCCTTCCGCAGCAAGGCTTCAGCCCAAGGATTCTGGGGCTATGTCTGCAACGTGGGGTTTTTTTTCAAGAAAAAGATACACAAATTGTGAACCTATCTACGAGGGGCCAAATGTGGGAAAAACCTCCTCCTTTTGGAAGACCCCTTATTCCTCAAAATGAAAAAATACATGGATGCCGAAAGAACGCACCTGCTTTTTCAGAAACTGTTCTGAAAAAGTGGACGTGTTCCCTGGACGTGGCAGAGTTTTTCTACAGTCTAGACAGCCTGGATGTGTGTATGCTCCTTGATTTTTGCCCTTGGAGTTAACATATGACACCGAACAAAAATCGTGCACATGTGCACTATAGCTGGGCTCTAGGGATAAGGTCCATTCTAGCCAAGGGTTTATTATAATGGACATTATACAGGCTGTGCAATTACAGAACACTAAGTGTCTCTGAATAAATTCTTCTAAATCTAGTCTAGATTCTTAATGAGAGAATAAATTGGCTGTAAATGTACTTGGACAACATTCTTTTGTTGCATTTATTCATATTCTAATCAGAATTGAAAATAAGAGTAGTTCATGTGGATCTTAGACATTCTGTTCTAACTGCATGTGTACATTTGTGTTCTGAAATGATCCAATCATATTTTGTCAGCACTATTCTCTAATCAGTGAGCTTTGTGTCTGAAAGAACTGCTCAGTGAGGATGTCTCAACACTGCACCCTTAGTTAGAAATAAGTTACACAATTTGAGCTATGCAAATTGTGTAGTTTATTTTGAGTTAATGACAAAATAAGCTTTTTTGAAATTTGGTGCAGTGCCAAATTTCAGAATACTGCTTTCTTTCAAAGTGTCCCTTAATCCTCACGGAATGAGGTTTACAGGGCTGTTGGAATAGTGAGACTTATTTCTAAAGCTATTTCGAAATAACGGGCACACTGTCAAGACATGGCTATGCTATTTCAGGATACCAGAAGCATTCGGAAATAGCGCTGCAGTGTAGACGTACCCTGACAGGGCCCTATCGCTGCAGTTACATCTATACTACACCCCCCCCCCTTTTGGTGGCACATATATGCACTAGGTGCATATATGTAGCTCCCTTCTTCTGCAGCATTTCCCTGTGGTGACAGAAGAGTCCAGAATGAGGCTGCTTAAAATATGCCTTCCAAGTAGATTCAAAGTGCATGCATAAGGGGTATGCGCACCCAGGGTGGAATTCATTCTGACCCACAAACGTATAATTTGCAAATATACTTCTTTTGGTGACTTAGTCTAGTTGAACAAGTTCTTTGTCTCAGCCCAAGAGTAAGTAATATCCTTCAACCTCTTCAGTACAAGAGGCAAGAAGGATGCATTTTATCCTTGTGGGAAAATTGTCTGATATTCAGAACTCAAAATGGAATGAGCTTTAAAACTGTCCGAGAAAATGGCTTTTAAAATGAAGTCTGGGACACTCAGCCAAACAATAACAGTAGCAAAGTGGTGAACACGCCCTGTAAAGGAAGTACAGCGCACTGAGGCGAGTTCAAAGCCAAAACTAATGTAAAAATTTCATTGCATTGAAATTTCAGCACTGTGAAACTATACCTTGCCCACTGAGCCAGACACTACACCCATTTACAAACTCCACTAGCATTAAATAGGCTACATGTTTACCTGATTTATAGCCTATTTTATTCCCTTATCCTTTTTGTGCTAGGTCCAACATTTTGGTTAAATAGAAATGTGTTCTCTTACCAGTCGACTTTATCCTTAGGCCAGCCTTGCCCTCCGAGACCACAGTAGCATCCATAGCGTAGATAGGCCAAAGGAGTGCGTCCTGTACTGCATTTGATGGCTCCAGCCAATTCAAGGATTCCTCTTGGATTCCTCGAATGTTTTTTTTCCAAAGCACCTTTAGAGGCTAAAGAAAAGCCAACACACTTCACTCAGTATTTGAATAATCTTTCTGAGAACGTTCGCTATGCGCTTACTGAAACTGATGATGTTGTCTTTTACTTTATTAGAGGTTTTCTTTTTTAATTGCTTGTGTTTACCATATTGCTATGAGCCTGGGCAAGTAAAACTCAGGGTTGCTATAAGGCAGGCCTTGTGTTAACGTTTTGCACAGACTCTGGTCACGTCTGGGTTGATGTTGGGCACGTAAGGCTTGTTTATACAAGTGGCAGGCTAGCACAAGGTTACATTTACACCTCCACCTGGCACAAACTAAGTGTTCTCATGGATGAGCCCATACCATCTTTGCCTCAGTTCTCTCCTAGTGTGAGGATACATTAACTGAATGTTTGTGAGATGCTTAGATATAGGGTAAGAGGCCCAGTATATGAAATTAGATGGTAAGGGGCTATTATCCAGATTACTTAACCCTTTCCTAATTTTAAAGCTTAGACAAGGTTTGGTGGGAACCAGAAACTCCTGCTGACAGGGAGCCTGGCCAGCACCTGAATGCCATGCCTATTCCAGGCTGTGGTGGCAACTCCTTTGCAGTAATCAGTTGCAGAGGAGGAACAGGGCTGGATGTGGGGCCAGGAGTGTTTCCTTCACGGATTTATAACTCTTCTTATGATCATAATTGTATGTTTAGCTCAGTGTAATTTGCTGTGTTACTACAATGGTGTCATGCACTCTGAAAAGCTCTTGCATAATCTATCTCATATAGCACCTACAGTTATAGAAAGTGTGAATTAGTTCAGTGTAAGATGACACATGATTTTTGTCTGACTACATAGTAAAGATTTCACAGCTGATTTGTGTCCTTTAATTAAAGTGAAATTTGTGGTGGAAATTCCTTGGAGATACAAGGTTGGCCCCTCCCAGCCTTTGGGAAGGGCAATGATCCCACCAGGCTGGCTGGCTGGTCCCACTTATTATTGTTTCAAAAACAGACTACTACAGTACATCTAGATCTTGTCATATCTGAGTGGTCTGTCGAGTTTGTAAGTAACAAGAGCTCACTGGAGTAGAGTCCTCTTCGTTATGAAATGAAATGTGGTTAGGCAGTGGAGAAGATACAATGGAATATAAAGCCAATTTATCACTCCTAATGACTAAAGTAATAGTAGCCATACTTAGACTTCAAAGGAAAACTATACATGACCCTTAGATGAAGAGACTGAAATAGAGTTTGACTGGCAGAATACGTAACAGCTCTGTGAGTGGTATCCTTCTTGTCTTAGCATTTATCTATTTACTTTGATCTGCTTAGGTTTAAGTACCCATTCTCCAGATACTTAATGATGCCCTGTCTTACACACCCCCTTCCTTTTTCTCTCCTCTCTCTTTATTTCAAGTTTTCATATCCCCTACTCATAACTCTGGTCATCTGAAGAAGTGGGCTGTACCCACAAAAGCTCATGATACCATTTACATGTTTTGTTAGTCTATAAAGTGCTACCAGACCCTTTGTTTTTTTCTATAACAGAAGAGACCGACACACAAGGCAAGGAACTGTAACTATCAGTTTTAGCCTGCCTAACTTGGTTTTTACCTCTTCTTTATACACGGTAATTCATCTATTTGATTGACTAGTGCACTGGAAAACTTCCAAACCTGAGTAGTGTGAAAACCAGTGTGCCAGTTGCAATGCCGAGCAAGGGGAGCCAGCCCCAGACCCAAAAGGTAGGAATTGCTGCTGCAGAGTGAAAGGCAGTCCTGCCTCTCTCTCTCTGGCCTCCTCTCAGCATCATGCTGCAGTTAGGGTTGTGCTGGGGCAGAAGATGCTGCTGCAGATGGTCTGTGTCCCTCTGCAGTGTGAGGAGGAGGTGGTGACAATAAGTTCATCCATTGAACCAGAAGGCTTCATCTGCTACAGGAAATAATTTTTATACCGAGCTTTAACTTCATAAAATTTGTGATGCACGATTAAAGAAATTACAGTAACCCCACTACCTGTTACTAAGGGTGCTTGACACTTCCTATTCTAAGACCCTATTTTCAACTGCTTACAACTTTTGCCAAATTTTAACCCTTTTGGCTGAAATTTTCCATATTCAGTGTTGGATTCACACGTTGATTTTAAACGTTTGAGCCACAACAGTTGAGCCACTTCAGAGATCAAGGCTACAGGAAAATGTTTTCTTAAAATTCTAATTAAAATCTCTGAGATCCCCTTAAATTAGAGCAGGGATTTTGTAATTTGAAGGAGATGGCCTTTGTGTCAGGAATGTGCCTTTTTACCTTCCTATCAAAATCTCCAAATTGGCCACTTTACACTCTGCTAACAAATCTGTTTGCACATGTCCAGTAAACACGCTGTAGCCTTTTAGCAGTTCTACTTTTTTTGAGATTCCATGCATGCTCAAGCTTCACAGCTCCTTGTACTGACCAGATTGTGCACGTGCTCTTGCTGTAGTGATAGAAGTCCCTCTAGCCTGGGACTTCTGGAGCAGGCAGACTTTAATTTTCAGCCATGTTAGTCTGTAACTTTAAAAACGAGATGTCCTGAGGAAGCGATCTGAATGCAGAGGGGACAAGAGTCAGACTTAGAGATGAGTGTTGGGAAGGCAGATTGGAACATGGAGCCTAGAAGAACCTTCACTGAGCCCTATAGTACAAGTCACCTGCAGTTCACTGCTTCACTCACTACATACCTTCCAGCTTCTGCAACAAATGGATCCTACACACAATCTCTTCCATTGTGACTCTATATTACCAACTCCAGCCTTTAGGAAAACTAATAGTTCTGGCAGCTGTTTTCCTGGAAAACTGGATTTTATCCCTCCTGTCACTGAGTTCCTAGGCTGGGGACTTAAGTGAAACTTCTTATAGGTTGTCATCAATTGTTCCTTATTTTATGGGTGCCCAACTTGATACCCTTGGTCCTCTTTGCAGAAGTGCTGAGCAGTCAGTTGCAACTAAAGTTAATGGCAACTGTGCTATGAACAGAAATGCTTATGTAATGCTACCTACCCTGGAAATATCTCGAAGTGTGGCATGTAAACCCATGGATCCTTTTTCTAGCTCCACTCCCCATGTGTGAAAGGGGGAGAAGACACTCACCTCATGAAGTCTGGTAAAAATAATGTTTGTAAAACACTGTTGCTATACTAAAGAACAACACAGAAAACCCCAGGACAAAAGAAAATAAGAGTTGTTAGAGCAGGGCTTGAATAATGTTCAATAAATAAAGGAGTATGCTTTTTATTTGCTCTGTAACTGCTCAATAAGTCAGTACAGTTGCTTTTGGACAAACATAGGAAGGGGTCTATCAAAAATAATTTAATTAAAACACTATATCAGAAGGGGGCTGAGTGTTTTGACTTTGCAGTCTGAGTATTTTTAGTGGCCATCTGAGTTATGGATAAATATGGAGACTTGCAAAACATATATTACTTTGCTGGGACTGGCAAGCTAAAGCACAGCTTTTTATAGTCCTTTACAAATGCAAAACCTACTTCATATTGCCACTATTAAGGTTACAGCCACCCACAAGTCAAGAAACTGAAAGCTCTGTCAGGCATTACAAATATTTCCTATGAAGTTGTTGATCTGAATGCGTGTGTATCACCTGGACTCTCAATTTCTCATGTGGCTGTTACGTTGCCCAAATGTTTTATCCCTCTCCGCCGGGGTTACTTTTTGGAAGTAGCACAATTACCGCGGTTTTCCCTCCCATCCGCTAACTAATCCCAACAGGCAACGCATCCTGGCCCAGATTAACACACAGCGAATATAACCGCGCAGCAAAGGGCGCAGGCCGGTACCCCAAGGAATGAGGCGGCACAGGAATACCCCGCGCACCCACTTTGGTTTGGGGCGATGTCCGAAGAGCCCGTGGCGCTGTGTGTGGATGGACGGGATTTCTCACTCGCTTTCCACCCCGGCTTCCCTCTCAGCCCCGGGGAACCGCCCCTGATTAACACACAGCGAATATAACCGCGCAGCAAAGGGCGCAGGCCGGTACCCCAAGGAATGAGGCGGCACAGGAATACCCCGCGCACCCACTTTGGTTTGGGGCGATGTCCGAAGAGCCCGTGGCGCTGTGTGTGGATGGACGGGATTTCTCACTCGCTTTCCACCCCGGCTTCCCTCTCAGCCCCGGGGAACCGCCCCTTACCCCACTTGGGTCTGGCAAAGGAGGCAACGGGGGTGCAACTGGGTCCAGGCAAAGCAGCCCCGGGCAGGGGTCGGCGCCGCAGCCTCTCCACTCACCGCTCTGGAGCAGCAGCAGCAGCACGAGCGCCAGGCGCGGGGGGCCCCCCCGGCGCCCGGGGGGC